AAATCAAGATGAAAGACATTACGGTGTTGTCACCTTAATATGACAGGTAAATATTTCATAAACAAATTTTGTGACAAGGGCAGTGAATAACATGAGTTCACTGCCCTGGTTCTGTCACCGCTTGTATATGAATGTCATCCTGGCTCTATATAGAAAGCATTCAATATTCAAGATGTGATGTTAAATTAAATCCACATGCATGTTTACCTCAACAGTGTATATTAGTAGATTTACAAAGTTTATGAACAGTATTATATATAGTATAGTTTGATACAGTTATTAATAATATTTCTGTTAAAAAAGTACGTTATAGTGTGAGCCGAATGAGGTAAATCAGAGGTATCTTTGTGGTTATCCACACTGAACAATGTCCTTTGCTGTAGGGTTTAACTCTAGCAAATGTGAGTAAAAAAAAACAAACAAAACAATTAAAAAATAGTTTGTTTGCTTTCTGGGAGTCTTAACACCCAATAATATTGAATACTTATGTAGTCAATATTAAACCTTGGAGTAATATTTCTTAGAAATTCTATAATATTGAATGACAATATTCAATATAGTAGTCACTGAACATAGCATCATGTTTAATTAGGATATATAAGTGTGATTGCTGAACAGTGTGGATTCTCCTGTTCCTTCACTGTGATTAGGACAGGAAAAAGTGAGTGATGTTGCATGTCCGCTCTTCGCCCTTCTCTTCCTTTTGTGCACTCTGTTACATTTGCAGTGATGATATGATCAGAGATACATCCTATTTTATTTTAGCAGATGTGCCTGTTGGTTTTATTGTTTCACAGTAGAATGATGACAGACCTGAGTGCCTTTAGGATTATTGTTTGATGTAATAAATATAAAATGGCCAAACATGACAGATTTGGTATAATAGATGTTCCTTTTTTCTACATTAGTAAGTTGTATCCATTAATGCTGTCTTAAAATGTCTGTACATTTTGTCCTCCTAAGCATTCGATAGATGCGGTCAGTGCTGGGGTTAGTCCTATCGGAGACACAGCCTATAACTCCAGCCACTGGGACCTCAGCAGTGCCTTTTTCTTTGCTGGGACTGTCATCACCACCATAGGTAACAATCTGTTACCTTCATTAAATGTTTCCAGATGATGGAAACTCACAATTTGTACCGCTGTGTGCGCCTTCTCTTCTTTCACTCTGCTGTTGGAAGAGTCGGTGATTTATTTGAGTCATGAAAGAAAAAGAAAAGGTTACTGGGAGCATGTCATTTTGCTTCTGCGTATTGACTCTGCTAAATCATCTCATACATAAAGTTATATGGAATCATTCTTGGAATTGAATTCTGTTTGGAAAATAACAGTGTCCCTTTTATCTATCCATGCAGATAATGAACACAACAAACATACGCTGAAATGAAAGACAATAAACATACACTAAAATGGAGTCAGAGCTGGTTGGATGTAATAATGCAGTGTGTAACCCTCAGTTACCATTACACCTAACGTGCAGTGATATATTATGGACTATAACTCGGACTGTTTTAATTCTATTTGAACTCTTGTTCTTGAATCAGAGATTTTGAAAAGATTTGAAGTGCACACATGCTACATCAGCACACTGAAATGAGATCACACTGAATACTCCAATCAGACTTGACATGTGTGTCAGCAGCTTTTGGATACAATAATATCCAAAGTCTTGTTACTGTATATTATATAAGCACTTTGGAAACCTTGATTCAGTTTGGAGTGTTTGATTCAATTTGCTCTAATGGTTCGAATGAATCAGAGTTACCATCACTAGTATGAAATGTTTTATGGACAGCATATGTTTATTGAATTAAATAAACAGAAGTGAAAATTTTGCTTTTGGATGTTATTAATATGTCGTATTGATCTTTGATGACACTGTTGTTTTCCAAGGCCTGAAAATACAACTGTGTTTCCATGATCAAGTCTTGCATTCTTTTCTCTTCAGCAGTCTGTAATTACTGCCATGGTGTTTCAGTAGAACCTAACAATTTTCTTTGTTGTGACAGCATTATCTTAAAATAGTGGATCAAAAGCTGACGTATTGCTTAGTAGGAGTTTTTCTATACCCATGTATGCAGGCTATGGGAACATCGCTCCCAGCACTGAGGGTGGCAAGATTTTCTGCATCCTGTATGCCATATTTGGAATTCCTCTGTTTGGGTTCCTACTGGCTGGCATTGGAGATCAACTAGGGACCATATTTGTTAAGAGCATTTTAAAGGTGGAGAGAATTTTCCGGGTGAGCTTTATTATTATTATTATTATTATTATTATTATTATTATTATTATTATTATTATTATTATTATCAGTGTGATATGACTCTTCTTTTAATTTAATATAATACCATAATGCTACGGATTTTGGATACATTTGTTCTTATCTATATATGGCCTGTTACTGTTTTCAGCAGAAACATAGGCAGATAAGTCAGACTAAAATCCGTGTCACCTCCACCATTCTCTTCATCCTGGCTGGGTGCATTGTCTTCGTCACCATCCCAGCTGTCATCTTCAAACACACTGAAGGCTGGACTACACTGGAGGCCATCTACTTTGTTGTCATTACTCTCACAACTGTTGGTATTGGAGATTATGTAGCAGGTACAGTTGACTTTTGTATCTAGTTTTATTGGTATTATACATCAGGGGTGTACAAATATGTGTCCTGGGGGCCTAGAGTATTGCGAAGTGCTTGTCACGGCTAATTTCCCTGCTAAAGCCTATCTGAATTTATTCATTAGTTTATTCCCAGGTGTGCTGTAACAGGGAAAGCATGGAGTTTGGATGTTTGGGATTGAACCTGGGCACCATAGTAATGCATGCATAAATGTACACTATAATGAAACGGTTTTCTATTAGTAATGAGATAAAGTGCATTTTGGGAATTTTGTGCCTTGTATGAGGTTTGGCAAGAAGAAATGATTCATCTTCAGTTATTAAGCATATTATTCAGTACTATTAATTATTCAATAACTACACTAAAAGGGGAAGGTATAAAGTTATGAGAGTGAGGAATGTAAGTCTGGACTCACCTACAGGTCCTGGGAAGATACAAATGAATCACTATACCTTTTTGATGTTGTGATACATAGAAACTCAAGAAAGGCAAGAAAGATGCCATGAAAATCCAAGCCTAAGCGTGTGTTGGCCATTTACTGGTCAATTACCAGCAGCATTTAAGATAGTTTCAGTATCACATCGAAAGAACGTAGCAAATTCTTAGCTGTGTTAAGTATTAAAATTTGGCTGTTTGTTTTCAGGTGGGGACAGAATGATTGAATACAAGAAGTGGTATAAGCCACTAGTTTGGTTCTGGATCTTAGTGGGTTTGGCGTATTTTGCAGCAGTTCTCAGCATGATAGGAGACTGGTTAAGAGTCCTTTCCAAGAAGACTAAAGAGGAGGTATGATATGAAGAGCACTGCAGTATTTTCCTTCTAATTATGGCATCATCATACAGTCTTTTCTGACAGTAGTGGATCAGTTATTCAATAACTATTTTCTTGCATTAATAATTTAAATCCAAAATACATCATTGGTTAGAAAACATTCTGCTTAATAATGATATACAGTAGTAGATCAGTAGCTTTTAGTGGATAGTAAATAAACCAACAAAATGTTCATCAGAAGGGTAATGAGTGTATGTCTATTACTGGCAAGATGAAGCAACTGGACTTGTGTTATAAACTTTGGAAATGTTTTGCCATTCAGTAGAACCCCAGGGGATGAGTCGCGAAACATTAAGATACTGTTTTTTGACCATAATGACTGACTGTTTGTATGTCAGGTCGGGGAGTTTAAGGCCCATGCGGCTGAATGGAAGGCGAACGTGCGTGCTGAGCTGCGGGAAACCCGGAGGCGCCTCAGCGTAGAGCTCCATGACAAGCTCCAGCGTGCTGCCACCATTCGCAGTATGGAACGCAGACGCCTGGGTCTGGAGCAGCGTGCACGATCTCTTGACATGCTCTCTCCAGAGAAAAGAGCCATCTTCTCCAGCTTTGACAGGGGTCGCTTCACCACATCCTCACAGGAGAGCATCGACACAAAGCTGAGCAATCTCCGAATGAAGGCAGAGCACTACAACAAGCACACGGCCTCAGAGGAAAACATCTTCAACCGCTTTGGCTCTCTCGGCAAGCTGACCAAGCGCAACAGAAACAAAGACATGCCCCCAAATATCGCAGAGGACGCAATGCGACTCAGCAGCAACAGCAGCAACAACACACTGGCTGAGGAGAGACAGGAGGCTCATGAAGAGGAGGAGCAGGAGGAGGAGGTGACAGAGAAAGAGAACAACACCACGCTCACCAATCTGCCACAATACACTGAGCAGCAAGAGCAGCTGAATGGTTTTGTGCCTGCTCAGGCCAAAGAGACAGAGACCGAGAAAATGCTGGTAGAGAGAGAGCGTCAGCCGTAGACAAGTCACTGAAGATGGGCGGCAAGCGAATCATGAATGCCACAGAATGTGCCTTTCTGTTTTGTACGCTATGGCTCAACTCATTAAGATGAATCTTAGTCAGTGTCTCTTATTCTCAAACTAATACATCTTGGTTGCCAAAAATGTGAGCTATCACGGGTCATAGAATTGTCAGTGAAATCTTCTCAACTATGAAGCATGCTGTATTTTTTTTTACCGTTTCAGAGTTATTTACTGCTACTTACAGTGCAAGAGACTGTGATATAGCAACATTTATCTGTGTTTTAAAGAGGGGCTGTGACCATTGCTTTCCAGGAGCCATCTCCTTGACGTGAAACTGCTGCTGTAATACTCAGTTACTTTGTGTTCGGTTGTATCTAAGATGTAAGTTTATAGAGAGCATGTCAGACTTTAATACATGTTTTGCTTTAAACCCATTTTGGAAATGTAAAACTGCAGACTGGTTCAATAACACCTTGACTTACATTTACAGCATTTGGCAGACACCCTCATCCAGAGAGACTTACATTTATACAACCAAGCAGTTGAGGGTTAAATTCCTTGCTTAAGGGTCCAGCTTGGCAGTGCTGGGATTTGAACTCACAGCCTTCTGATCAGTAGCCTGAAGTCTTGACCACAGAGCTACCACTGCCCCTGAATTAAGAAGCTGAAGAGTGAAACTTTGATATAAACAATGTGCAGTTTCTTGATTATTTGCCAATATTCCAACAATAAACAGATAAAGAAATAGAGTTAGTTTCTGTGAATGAATGATCCATGTCTGTCAGAATGTGCTATGCTAACACAATCTGTTTACATGCAAATGCAAAACTAGTTAAAATGAAACATCCATCCACCTGGTTGATTCAAGAACCTGTTTGATAAAAGAATCTTCTACATTTCTATTTCGATTTACAGCATTTGGTGGGCACCCAGATCCAGAGCTATTTACAGAAATCCTCTGTCCATTTAGTGCATTGCAAATTCTCCTTGTTTTAATTAGCCAAGGAAATTAACTTTGTCGTGTTAGAAACATTCTCATACGTGACTAGCTCAGAATGCTTGAGAATAATGCTTTTTTTTGTGGAAAAAATCCTTTTGCAGTCATTTTCAGAATGGAACATTCATCATTTACCCAGGTTTATTTCCAGTGTTATTTTCCATTTACCGGATGCCGGAACAATCAGCATATGCTTTGCATCTTCAGTGTGTATGAATCCCAACATATTACAATTCATCTGTGGGCTATGTAAAATAGCATATCATGACTTTCCACTGTCCTTAGATGTTGAATTATACAACCATCCTGATACCTGATACAGGTCTCTAGATATGAATGTAGACTGTCAAGATTCTATCACTGACAATATGAACTCTCAGTTACCATGTTGAGTACAAAATTGGAATGCTCAGTGTCATAGGACATGCCAGTGTATGTCTTTCAGTCTTGAAGTGAAGCATATATTATTAGAAGTTTTAAATAATAGTCTGTTCTCAGTTAGTTGATGACTCCACTGCTGTAATTGAGCTTAAATGCGTTTTCCACATATATTTCCACATGCATGTGCACATACAAATAACAGTCTAGTAATGAGAGTTAACTTCAGGAATTGTGCAAAAACTACACTAATTGCAGTAAAGATTGCTGCTGCAACACTTCTTGATTTGTTCCATTATTATGTTTTTCCAGAATGTGTAGTTAGGCCATATTCATTTGTCTTCGGTTTAATGAACTCATAACAACCTAATAATGTTCCAACCACTAGAGGGCCAAAAAAGTACTAATTAAAGTGTCTAGTGTGTTGTATAAAGGGCTGTTAAGGACCCAGAACTCTAAACCACATGCACCGTATAGCATCCACAACACACGAATAAAAAAACATTTGTTCCACTAAGATCCACTTCTTTTAATGTCATATGTTTCCCCTCCAACAGTTTCTGGTTAGGAATTTAAAAGCTATTTTTTTATTCATATGCAGTTTTCAAGGTATACATTTTCTTTAACTGAATCTTATAGTCTTTAGATATCAATATTGTTTTTTTTAATATAGTGCCAGACTTGTAGTGCATTTGAGAACTGTTGTTCTAACATTACATGGTTACACACTACAACCCTGTAGGCCTACTCTGCAAATATGAAGGCAAAAGTGGTGAGCCTATAACTACTGAAGAGTGCAAACAAAGTGATGATCTTAAGGCAATGAGTGTCAATACCAGTACTACTTGCTGACAAATAGTGTGATCCCTGGATCTTGTTGTGCCTGTGCATGTGTGACTATCCTATAGGATTTAAAGTCTGGTAGTTCTCTTATACAGAGCTCAGATGATACAGCCAGCTGTGGCCATGACCCAAGGCATAAATTCTATCATTTAACATGAAAGAAAACTGTTTATGTGGTTGAGGAGGCCTTCCCCTAGCTCCATCTGTAATAAATGGATGAAAAATAAATCGATACATGGCTTTACATGTTCAGTTCTGCATTAAATTACAGTAGCACTGTTTCATCTCCCTGTCAGTCTAGATATAGAGGTAGTGCAGTACAGTAGAAAGCACGAGCACATGGATTGTGAGTTTCCTGTTACAGGCGTCCTACACTACATACTGAATACACCATGACTTTCCAGTAGGAGGGGAATAGAGAGAGAAGGAAATGCTTTGGTGACAAACACCAGCACCTAAATGTGGCAATGGGAACAATACTGCTTCTTTGGAACAATTCTGTCAGCTGGGAGGAAATAGCATAGAAGGAAAGGGCAGTTAGTTTGTTTAGTGCTAAAAGAAGAGTAGGGTTAGAGTTGATTTTGGAGAACAGACAAGTGGGCATGGCTGATGAATATCTCTATGAAAAATAACCAGATAACTGGCCTTGTACTGACGCACTAAGTCCATTACTCAGAAATTCTGGCATGCCACCTGAAAAGCATTCAGTATTTTTTTTCGGCCTGTTGCTTTCTGACTATACGGGCAAGGGCAAATTTAGTTGGCCTTAGCTGTATAAATAACGTCTAACAAAAACAACTACTATTACTGCTAACAACAACAATAATGGTTCTGTTACATAAAATAATTAGAGAAAGTAATTAAGCAGAGAGAAAATAGAAAAATTAAGAGGAGAAGTAAATCACGTTCTGTCTGCCTCTTTAATAATAGAGAAAGCTTTCAACACTGCTGACTCACCTAATTTCTAAAAGCTTCTCTGGCAGTGAACAGCCCGGCAATGTCCCCATACATTAAGGGCAAAGATGAAGTAATCCACAAATTGAGATCAGCAACAAGATAACTTCAAGGGCAGTGTGGAGGATATTAGAATGCCAGACAGAATGCAAAGAAGATTACAATAGCAGAGACATTTTAACATTTATAGAACACATACTCAGAAAAATGATGTCACTTGGAAGCCCATATCCATCCATTCCAACATAAAACCCCAGCAGGATAATCCAAAACCGAGCAAAACCCTCTCTCTTTCTTAGTGTCATCCAGAGTCTGATTTGTGTGGGAAAAAAAATACTATTTTGGCAGATGTTATAAGGAGGCCCTCTGAAAAGAAACTGGATGGCTTCATATATACAGCATTATTATTACACTCATCCTATGTCTTTCTGAACATATGGGAAAATTGATGTGGACATTGAATGATGAATGGACATGGTTGGTATTGATCCTATTTTGAAGGTGTTATCTGTTGCATTCTGAAAGAACCTAGATAATAAATCAGCAAGGGGGACTGAAGGTCTAATACACATACACCACATGACACTGCAGATTGTAAATAGGGAAGAATAGGAAGGGTGTTTAGCTGCAGTGTCTGTAATTTTGAATAACCTTGTTCAGCTGTGGAAAATGAAATGCCTGAAATGACAGTGAACTGAACAGTGCACAACACGTTTGTATTATTGCTGTTTTGACACACATTATTGGTCATACGAATAACAAACTGATATGATACTGGTGATATGATCATATAAAATTAATTTTACTGTTCGAACTACACCTGCAGAGCTAAGGATATTTTAGACTATGCTGTATGGCACAGTTATGTATTGTGTTGCGTTGTCATAGGGATTCCAAATTATGAAACATATAGTACATTCCATATAGCATATGGTTTACAAAATTTAAATTTTACATCATTTAGTGAGCCCTCTTGTCCTGTGGACTGGGTCATTGTCATCCTGGAACAGACCACTCCCATCTACATAGAAATGTTTAATTAGGGGTAGGAGAAAGGTGATCAATCAGATGAACTTTGTATTGACGTGCAGTGAGCCTTCCCTCTAAGGGAACAAATGGGGTCAAACCAGAACAGCAAAATGCCCTTGACAGCATAACAGAGAGAGCAGGTTTACTGTTTATTTGTTGCCTTTAATACACAAAGTATACATACACATAGTACACAATGTCTCTAGAGAAACAGGAGTTTTCAGACAAAAGTACTTCATCGGCTGTGCAAGCAAAGTGCTTCTGAGGCTGTAGGAGGTGAAACTGTTACTATAGAATCTATGTATCTATAAACTGTAATAAATTGCTATACATTTTTAAGTAATTTACTGGCGATTTGGATTGGCAGTACGGTACTGTAAAATTGACAGTAAACAGCTGTAAAATATGAAATACTGTAGTCTTGTATAAAATGATCCCAGCACACTTGTTGTTTTGGCTGATGCAGGATACATGTGAGTTGAAGGTTATGGGTCTTACCCAACCATGACAGCTCAGCATTACTGGGATTTGAACACACAACCATCTAAGCTGTGCCTCAAAGCCTTAACCACTGCACTACATGACCACAACTAGCTTACATTGATTCAGCTACTTCTAGCACTGAATTAACGCCACTAAAAGATTGTTATTAATTAGTGCAAGCCCTTTGCACTAGCTGTGGTGGCTCAGTGGTTATGGCTTTGAGTTGCAGAGCAAAAGGTCATGTATTCAAATCCCAGCACCACCAAGCTGCCTTGAGTGGATCCTTGAGCATGACCCTTCAGCTCAGCTGTAGCCTGTGCCAACATACTGGGTTATGTGCTATTTGTTACTATGTATGATATTACAGTACTTTACTCTAAATATGTTTTACAGTTGTTTATTGTAAACTTTACAATACTTTAGTGGCAACCTCGGTTGCCAGTGTACAGTAAACGCTAACTGTATCTTTAGTATGTATGAAAATAGCTTATTTATGTTCTAATAAACGTATTTATTCATTTCAGTTAAAAATCCCAAATGACTCATATTTTATATTTGAATGAATGTTTATGGATAATCTGTCACTGACTAAAGAAGAAAATGACCTAATGGCTGCCAGTTTACTTCATTGCTTAAAGACTTCCTCTGAAACAATAGGTTTTTAAATGAAGTTATTTATTTTAATTTGATATTAACAAGTGTTATCTAACAGAAATGTCTACAATTTTAAAAGCACAAATAGTTTAAACTAGGAACAAACCAGGTCACTCAGTTGCAGAAGCTGACTTCAAATTTCTATTTGTCTCCATCTAGCGTTCAAATTGTGAAAAAGCACAATTAATCTGCCCATTAAGCTAGTCAATTCCACTGAACAATGCCCTCATTTTTCCTCTCAGTGAGGGCCCCACTTCTTTAAACACCTTTGTATATATACAGACTCAGATATACAGACACATTTGTAGATAT